TTTTGTAAGTTTGTAGTATATATACTTCTGAAGTTATTAAAGCTTAAAACTACACTAAAACTTTTGGGACACCATCTATTACCAAGGAGATGAAAATGACAGTCTAAAAAGTTAAGACCCTTTAATTTGGAAAAATGACTGCTTAAAAACAGACACACATGTATATACATACACACAAAAGCTATGTGTGTGTATATATGTGTATGTTTTACATATGTGTGTGTGACTTTATCAATGTCAGTTAAAACTAAACTAAAATTTGAAAGAGGTAAATTTAGGACAAATAAAAGGATATACTACTTTAGGTTCATTAAGTGGTAATAAATCTGAATAATAACCTATTAAAGAAATCGAGGGATGGTCTGGGGCACCCCTGAACCTTTTGAGATTGAAGATAACTGTGGAGATTATAGTTGCCAATCTGCAAAAACAGAAACAAAAACAAAAAAGCCCATTGAGGCAGAGCTCTGAGCCAATGACACTTTATTAAAGGGTCCATAGTCCCCTCTAATGAAGTGGACCCCAGATCTTCTTCATGATCTGAGATGCCCCCTTCTTCCAGGGCCTTATTTTTATAAGGCTTGATACCATATTTGATACTTGAACATTCCAAAGGCGCTATATACAAAGTATAGAATCCCATTGGTTGATAGACCTTGCTTTGAGGGACAAAAATGATACATCAGCTAGAAGTAATATGTTAGCAGAGGGCTCTCAGGTTGGGCAAAGTATGGGTCATCTCCACTGACTAAGTGAGCATAAAATGGTTACCCACTCATGTTGGACAAGAGACAGTGAGGCAGGGGTACAAAAACAAGTTGGGGGACTTTCCAAGTAATTGAGTCACCTCTGCCACACTGGGCTTGATCACCATGACAAGGAAAAACAAGGGTGGAGGGCCTCTAGTTAGCTTCCTACGATTAAGCAAGTGAACTTACAATCTGTAGTTCACAGCTCTGGGGTCTCATATACAGAACTTATAATCGCTGCCCTTATGGAATCATATCAAACTGATTAATGTTGACTGGCATAGAGTAGGGGTCTAACTGAATCATTTCTCACGTGACTATGGCCATTCACAACAAATCCCATGGTGTCACATCAGACAGAATCTTGGCCTGGGTGGACTCAGTGCTATGGGGTAGTGCCTCTCATATTTGTATTAAAAGATCACCAAACTGTTCTCTGTGACCTGGGAAGAACTGACTAGGGAAAATGAGCCTAAATTAAAACAGAAGAAAGCTGAGTTGGATATGAGAACTTGATTCTCATGAGGAGCTGAAAGGGGAATGGTCTGCCAGTCCCTGGCTTGGATGATTTAGTCAAGCCAAACCAAGTCAAGTCAAGTCAAATCAACAAACATTTATTAAGCATCTACTATGGTCCAGGCCCTGTGCTAAAATGTGAGGGATACAAAGACAGACAAAAAATAGTCCTTGCCAGGGAGCTCACAGTTTAATGAGAGAGACAACATGCAAACAGCTATGTACGAACAAATGCAGACAAAATAAAATGGACCTGGATTTTCCTGATTAACCCATTCCATGATTTTATAATTCAAGAAGAAGGAAGGAAAACTAGGGTCCAGTGTGATTTCTACTAGAACACCCCTTTTTCCAGCCAGGGTTTTTTTTTTTTTAAGAATCCTGAATATTTAACTTTAGTTGAAGGGCCACAGTTTAAAGGCCCTCATCTATAGCTATCAGCTTCCCTGGAAGGGGGCCTATGGGCTTATCATTTCAGAACTTAACCTTTATGAGTATTAGTAGTTTGGAAAAACAATTAATTTTGGTCCACTCCAGTGATTGTAGAGCATTAAAACAACCCTATAATGAGATTCGGCTGTAGAACAACTGAGCACAGTGTTCTAGACTGGTTATAAAATGGTATCTGCAATAAAAGGAGACAATGTTGACTTGATTAGGTAGGAAATGAGAAGGCCAAACAATCTCATTTCAAGTTATCCTTTCCCTTCCTAAATGATCTTTTACAAGCATAAACTTCAGAACATAATTACCTAACATCAGTTTCAATATTTCTAAGCTGTTCTTAGTATTTTAATATTGTTTAGGGGGAATTGAAGGATAACATTTGGCCAGCACAAAGGCTATATTAGTATTCAGGAAATAGTAGGAGAACCAGACATGGTTCCAATATATTGGATGGAGTCTCTTTGGAGGAACTGAAACAATACAGACAGTAATTACATAGCATGAGCTAGTCTGGTTGGCTGAAGTCAGGACTGTTCTGGAGTCAGCTTAAACTGGCTCCTAAGAACAAATTGCTAAATTTTTATTTTTATTCACTTATTTTTTATTTTATTTATTTTTATTCATTTCATTTAGGTAGAGGGGGGCAATTGGGGTTAAGTGACTTGACCAGGGTCACACAGCTAGTAAGTGTCTGAGGCCAAATTTAAATTCAGGTCGTCCTTCCTCCAGGCCCAGTGTTCTATCCACACTGTGCCACAAAGCTGCCCCACTCTGTTAAATTTTTAGTGTGAGCATTTAAGCATCAGAAATTGACAAACACTACAAATCAAATCTTGATTGTCTAGACCAGGGGTGGGGAACCTGGGGCCTCCAGGTCACATGTGGCCTTCTAGGTCTGTGGGTGCGGCCCTTTTATTAAGGGGATTTATTCTGTGAAGTTTGGATTCAATCAAAGGGCCTCACTTGAGGACCTCGAGGGCCATGTGTGGCCTCGAGTCCCCAGGTTCTCCACCCTTGGTCTAGACTTAAGAAAATGATGGAGAAAATGTCAATAATTCAGATTAAATTTTGTCCTGGTGTACATTTTTTTTTGGAGGGCTGGTTGTCAAACATTTACCAGCATACCGCTGGGTGAAGTACTGATAACAATTAGGTACTAGGTCCATCTAAATACTTAAGTTTGATGTGTTGAATAAAGAGTTACTGCTCAAGACCCTTTATTCAATTCCTTGGTTAATTTTTACTATTCAAGTTTCTCCCTTCTTTAAGCCCTCCTCCACAAGACAAGCTTGAACATGTCACCCTTCTGCTCAGTAAGTTCTAGTGGCTCCCTGTTGACCTCTGTGATCAAATACAGACTGGTCTATTTGTAATAGAAGCCAGCCCCTCACATCCTGATTGCAGCCCACTTTTCTTTTATTTCTTTTTTTTGGGGGGTCATAATTGGGCCACTGTTTTATTTTGGTTTTTATAAATACGTTCAGTCACATGGTGTTCTACATAGGACTATGAAGCAGAAACTCAGAAATCATTATGGCTTTACCACATTTTATAATAAACTCCCTTTTTTCTTAAATACAAAGTCATTGTGGTCTTGTTCATGGACCAATGGACATCTCAATGTATGCCCTCAAGTCCTGAAATAGAAGAGGAGTGAGCCCTGACTTTGGATTGTGGAGGTAACCAAGCACCTAACTCCCTTGAGGTCATCATGTGGTCCCCACAACTCCCAGAATCCCTCCTGAGCTATTTCCACCTCCTCTGCCAATTTCTTACCCTTGCTATTTTGTTGCTGGTATTTTCCTGGACCCTAACATACTCTATGACGCCCTAGAATATGTGACTACTGACTCTGAAAATCTGCCCATTAGCTCTTTTCATGGTGACAAAGAATTAGAAATCGAGATGATGCTCATCAATTGGGAATGGCTGAACAAGTAATATGTGATTGTGATGGAATACTTTGGTGCTATAAGAAATGATGAGCAGGACAGTTTCAGAAAAACCTGTGAGGACCTATATGAACTGATGCAAAGTGAAGTGATCAGACCCAGGAGAACATTGTGTATAGTAATACCTATATCGTAATGATGATCAATTGTGAAAGATTTGACTATTCTGATTGATACAATGATCCAAGACAATTCCAAAGGACTCATGATGAAAAATGCTATCCACCTCCAGAAAAGAACTGATGAACTCTAAGTACAAATTGATGTATAATTTTCTTACTTTATTTTTCTTGTTTTCCACCCCCCCCATGGAAAAATATCTTGAATGAGTTGTATGTTTGTTTCATAATACTTGATTTCTCAGTGGGGCCGGGGGGAGGAGTGCAGCTCACTTTTCCAGGCTGATTACACCCAGCCACTACAGTCTGGCTACATTGAACTGCTCGGGATTCCTCACTTACACCATCTTCTCTCTTTGTGCCTTTGCACAAGCCGTCCTGCCACTGGACTGCCCTGCTCCCTTACCTCTACCTCGTAGAATCCCTGGTTCCCTTCAAAGCTCCACTCAAGCTTTACCTCCTCTATGAGCCCTCCTGGATCTACCCAGCTGCTAGTGTCTTGTATTTTCTTTGTATATATTTAGTTTATGTATATGTTGTTTCTCCTGAAAGCAGGGATTGTTTCATTTTTGTCTTTGCAGTCCCTAACCCTTGGTATAGTGCCTAGTACCCAGTATGTATGTGTGTATAGGGGCCGGGCACTGTCACACCTGCCCTGACACCAGGACCTGTGTGATCCCTGTGACTCCTCAGACACAAATTCCCTTTCTTGGCCTCCATTCTCTTCTGCATGTTGTATCCCCCTATTAGAATTAATGTTATTAGCATTGCTCCAGGGGGCAGGGACTGACTCATTTTTGTATTTGTATTGTCAGCAACTTGGCACATAGGAAGCACTTAAATGCTTTTTCATTCTTTCATGCAGATAGTTTGTTGTTCAGTTGTGTTCAGTTGTGTCTGCATCTTCTGACCCCATTTGGGGTTTCCTTGGCAAAGATACTGGGTGGTTTGCCATTTCCTTCTTTAGATCATTTTATAGATGAGGAAACTAGGGCAAACAGGGTTACCTAGCCTAGTGTGCCCTGGGTCACACAGCTAGTAAATATCTGAGGCTAGATTTGAACTCAGGTCCACCTGACCCCAGGACTGGTGCTCTATCCACCATATTGGTTAATTCTTGTCTTCTTCCTCTTTCCTTTCTCTTTCCTCTTTTTTTTTTCCTTCTCAGCTGCTCCTGCTGATGTAACGCATTAACATAGACTTGCTTTGCTCCCCAGGATTCCCTGGCCCAGCCCCAGCCCTGGTGGAAGATCCAACTGTTCGTTTGGGAGCCAGTGCTTTTTGGGACATGGGATGGTGTGTTCACATCCTGTATGATCAACATCTTTGGTGTTGTCCTTTTCCTCAGGACAGGCTGGCTGGTGGTGAGTTGTGGGGGAGGTCTGGGAGCCTCTCTGGGCCTGATTGCTTCCCATCCCCCCCATCCCAAAGCCTGGATTCTGCTTGTGCCTAATTACGTATGTCACGGTGGTGGTGCAGCAGAAAGCCAATGGCCTGGACCTGGAACCTGTTCTCAGGGGGCTCTCCATCTCAGACAGTTCTTCCTGGTGCATTAGATTAGATTAGAGAGAAAAACACACTCTATCAACACCGAGTGAGAAACAAGCACATGAAACCAGCAGCGTGGGGATTAACCACTTCTTGGATGTGAATCAATTCGGGGTCCTTCCCTTTACACCAGGAGTGTCAACCACAAGGCCCATGGGCAGCATTTAAGGCCCCCAGCACTCCTAGGCCATCCTAACCTAGATAAAAATGCAATTGGAAGATATTTAACAAAATAAATAAAAATACAGCTGAACATAGATAAGGCTAATATGTGGTTTTCTAAGTCAATATTTGGTCTGCTTAGTGATTAGTTGTATCACACTCTTTGTGACCCCAGTTGGGGTTTTCTTGGCAAAGATATTGGAGTGGTTTGCTATTTCCTTCTCCAGCTCATTTTACAGATGAGGAAACTGAGGCAAACAGGGTTAAGTGACTTACCCAGGGTCACATAGCTAGTAAGTATCTGAGACCAAATTTGAACTCAGGTCTTCCTGATTCTGGGCCCTATGCTCTACCCACTGCACCGCCTAGCTGCCCCTATGCAGTCTGCAGGGATCTTTATATATGATTTAGTGGCCCCCAATTCTATTTGAGTTTGGCACCATTGCTGTAGCTGCACCATACATCTGGGTGGTGTTGAGTAGGAGAAGAGATTTAAAACTAAAGGACCCGAGTGCAAGTCTTGTCTGCCACTGACTAGCTATGTGTACTTTAAACAAATCACCTAGCCTGCCTGAGCCTAGGTTACCTCATCTGTAAAAGGAGGATGATAATATTTACACTGACTCACTCACAGTTGTGAAAGTCAAATGGGACGATTTCCACTAAGTGCTTTGTAAACCGTAAAGCATTGTACACTGGTGAGTCAGTATTGTTGTCTACACTGATGGAAGGAAGCAGAGGCAGATGCTACAGGAGTAATGTTGGGGAGCGGGGAAAGGCTGAGCCCATTGTCCTGCTAACCTTGAACCTGGGCAGGAAGCCCAGCAGGACATCACTTGAATTCAACGTATATAGAAGCTGAGAGGGAATCAGTATTGTGGGGAGTCAGGGGTGAGGGAGGGGAAACCCCAGGAGGTGATTTGTCAGCCAGGGGAGGAGGTAATCCAGTTAGTAACCTCTGAGGGACCCAGGAACCTGGGTTAAACTTTCTCCCCCTTTCCCAGCTCATTCTCTTTTCACCCCCACCCTCCAACCTCCCCTACAGGTCCTTGACCGAAGGATAGGGAGTCCTGAGGGCAAAGCTGACTCAGGACTGGAGCCAAGGGAGAGAACAAAGGGTCCTCTTTTTGTGTTAAATAAGAGGATGGTATGTGCGCTGAGGAAACCTAGGAACTGAAGCTCAGCATTTCCTGTCCTTTCCTTTCTCTGCCTCCCACCTCCCTGTCCCCCACCAAAGATTCTTCTCATGCTGCGATTTCACTTCCCAACAGGCAAATCAGTTGGGGGAACATAAGATCATAGAGTGGGAGCTGGCGGGGGCTGTGGGTGGAGTGTCATCTAGTTAGGAGATAGTGTAGTGTGCTGGAGAGAGTCCGAACTTGGAGTCAGGAAGACCTGAATTCCAATCCTGCCTCAGATTCTTATTAACTGTGTGATCCATACAGGGCAAGTCACCCAGTATCTCTGGTCCTATTTCCTCATTTTTAATGAGAAGGCTGGACTCAATGACCTTTAAAATCATCTCCAGTTCTAAACCTATGATCCAGTGAATTCCATTTTTACAGATGAGAAAACTGAACTAAAGAAACTAAAGAGGTTAAGTAACTTGCCCAAGGTCACAGAGATAGCAAGCATTATTATCCCTGTCTTACAGATGGGAAAATGGAGGTACAAAGAGATTCCTCAATTGACTCAAGGTCACCAAGAACATGAAAGCCCATTTTCCTGACTTCTAGTCCTTTTTCCACTCTGTGACTTTGAGCTATTTGTAACACTTCTGACCCATAAATGAGAAGAATCGAGTCCCCGGATTTAGAGTTGGAATGGTCTTCATGAATCATTTCATCCACTCACCTCTAGAGAGATGAATCCCAAGCTCCTGTAGGTAGTAAGTAACGGAATCAGGATTCCAACCCAGGTCTCGACTCCCAGCCCAGGGCTCCTCCACTGCCGATCAGCAATCTGGGACAGCTTATCATGTGTGTGATACTCTTTGAGGTGGGATGGAGCGTGGGGTTGAGAGGAGAGTTTTTATTACATTGCTGAACTGCCCATGACAGAGGTGCCCTGCACTGTCTGCCCCACTGGGGGAGCATGGTGCCTGGTAGACTGGCATCCGTAGGGATGTGAATGGCTAATTGTAGCCTTGTCATTCCTAATTCCTGTCTTGTTCCTCCATTGTAGGGGAACGCCGGGGTGCTCGTCGGCATGGTCTTGGTCTCCTTCGTCATCCTTGTTGCTCTGGTGACCGTCCTGTCTGGCATCGGTGTTGCAGAGCGGTGCAGCATTGGGAATGGGGGTGTCTACTCCATGATCTCTTTTGTCCTTGGTGGGAAGCTTGGAGGCACTTTTGGCCTGCTGTACGTGTTTGGTCAGGTGAGTGTCTGTTGCCCTGGTTTTCTTGGGCTCAGCAGGGGCTGGGATTCTTTTTTATAATAGGTGGATAACACAGGGTTCTTAGGGCAATGCTCCCAGGGCCTTGGGGACACGTATACAGCATAGCCTTGGATGTATAGCAGGTGTCTAGTACATGCACTGTTTGGAGTTGACTTGGGCTGGAGGGGTGGGAGGGTCACTTGCAAAGTGCGTTGTAAAATGGAAAAAGAAATGGCCTTCAAGTCAGAAGACCTAGCTTTGAATTCAAACTCTACCACTACTGCCTCAATGAACTCATAAAGTCATTTCACTTTTTTTGGGCACATTTCTTTTTTAAAATTTAATATAATTTTCAGTTTAGAATTCTCTCCTTCCTTTCTTTTCTTGAGAAAGCAAGGAAAACAAAACCATTATAAATGTGTATGGTCAAGCAAAACAAATTCCCACATTAGCCATGTGTAAAAAAAGAAAGGAAAGAAAGTGAAGTAAATATGTTTTAGTCTGTACTCTGATTCCATCACTTCTCTATCTGGAGATAGATTGAGTATTTCATCATGAATTCTTTGGAATTGTTGTCATTGTGTTGATCAGAGTTCTTGTTTCAAAATTATATGTCTTTATCATAGTGTTGTCATTATATAAATTGTTCTCCTGGCTCTGCTCATTTCACTTTGCATCAGTTCATGCAAGTCTTCCCATGTTTCTCTGAAACCATCCCCTTCATCATTTCTTTCAGCACAGTCATACTTCATCACCTTCATTTATTACAACTCGTTCAGCCATTCTCCAGTTGAGGGGAACTTCCCTCAATTTCCAATTCTTTGCCACCACAAAAAGAGCTGCTATAAATATTTTTGTACAAATGAGTTTGGACTCATTTTTTCCTCTTTAAGATGAGGAGTTTGGGTTAGATCACTTCTTAGGTCCTTTCCAACTCTAAGGCAATGGCCTTGTGGTCTTATGACTATTTCTATTTTATATATTTATTTCTAATAACATATACATATATACATAGACCACACATAATATGCATATGTATATACACATACATGTGTATATATACAAATAAGTATATATACACACATACATACATACACATATAAAACTGTGAGTAGTGCCCTGGCCTCAGAGTCAGGAAGACCTGGGTTCAAATGCTGCCTTTGACACATACTAGCTGTGTGACCCTGGGCGAATCAGTGGCACTGGCAACTCTAAGACTGTAAGTTTCAGAGAAGGCACTAACCTACGCTGGTAGAGGAAATTGCATAGAGGGAGTAAAGGAGGTGGGAGAGGGAGAGCTTCCTACACTGAGAAAGTCACAGGTCTGGCAAAAAACAACAAACTGTGCAAAACATAACTATGTAATATTGCCCCATTCATCTTTATTTCCTAACAATGTCATTAAATCCAATCCCTTCCCAGTGTTAAAATACTGATATGTAACCTTGTTTAGCTGATTGTCCATTTACAACACTGATTATCTTCCTTGGTTCTGTCCCCTGTAATGTCATCTAGCCTAGCAACTGATGTCTTTTTTTTTTTTTGGTGAGGCAGTTAGGGTTGAGTGACTTGCCTAGGGTCACATAGCTAGTGTCAAGTGTCTGAGGCTGGATTTGCACTCAGCCTCTCCTGATTCCTGGGCTGGTGTTCTGTCCACTACACCACCCAGCTGCCCCACCTAGCAACTAATTTCTTAAAAAAAAGTTTTATCAGCATTTGTTTTTAACATCTTGGTCTCCAGATATACCTACACGTGTTCCCTCACTGCCTTAGTGAGCTTTTCCTTATAATAAAGCCAACAAGTCAGTTCTCATTTATTATGCTCCCATTGTGTACCAGACACTGTGTTAAGCCCTGAGAATACAAAGACAGGCAGGAGGTACTCCCTGCTCTCTCACAGTCTAATGGGAGGGACAACATGCAAACAGCTATGTACAAACAAGCTCTATTCAGGATAAATCGGAGATAATCCCAGAGGGAAGTGACAAGCATTAAAGGAGATCAAGAAAGACTTCTTGCAGAAGGTAGGATTTTAGCTGGACTTAGCCAGGAAGCCAGGAGGTAGGAATGACCATTGAGGGAATTTTATGCATGGGGGACAGCCAGTGAAAATCCCTGGAGTTGGGGGATGGAGTGTCTTGTGCAATGGACAGTCAGAGTAAGTGGAGTAAGGTGTAGGAAGACTGGAAAGGTCATGAAGGGCATTGGGTTCCAGATAGAGGACTTTCTCTTTGATCTGAGAGGTGATAGTGAGCCACTGAGTTTATTGAAGAGGTGAGTGACATTGACAGACATATGACTTCGGAAGACCAGTTCGATGGTTGAATGGAGGATGGCTTGGTGTGGGGAAGACACTGGAGAGGGACGGATTGACCAGCAGGTCCTAGAAGCAATCCAGGTGTGACATGAGGAGGGCCTACACCAAGGCAGTGGCTGTATGAGTGGAGAGAAAATCAGTTTAGCAAAACTAAGTGATATAACAATCCTGTTTGATTGTATATATGCAACATCACCCATCCATAGTCTCCCATCCTTCCAAGGAAAGAAGGGAGATGTTTTTATTTTTCTTGTTGGTCATTGCAATTATGCAACATTGTCTTGTCTTGGTTTTCCTTTCATTTACATCATTACAATTATTGTGTATATTATTTTCCTGGTTTGCTTTCTTCATTTGGCATCAGTCTAGACAATCCCTCCTATGCTTCTCTGAATTCATATATTTATCATTTCTTATGGTGCAATAGTATCCTAACACATGAATCTGTCACAATTGGGTTGCCCATTCCCCAGTCAATGGGTATCTGCTCTGTAGCTCTTTTCCCCCCAACATGTAATTTTCTATTTTTAAAAAAATTTTATTCTGAACTTAAGAAATAGAATAAGCATTTCCATGACATAGTAGAATAGAAAAAAAGATGGATGCACATGAAACTGCAAATCTGTTATGTACAATTTGCTATTCCTTTTAAATACATAATAAAATGGGGACAGCTAGATGGCGCAGTAGATAGAGCACCGGCCCTGAAGTCAGGAGGACCTGAGTTCAAATCCAGCCTCAGACACATAACACTTAGTAGCTGTGTGACCCTGGGCAAGTCACTTAACCCCATTGCCTAGCCAATAAATAAATAAATACATAATAAAATCATGTAATTTTCTATTTTTTCTTTTTTTCTTCTCCTCCCTGCCCTAGAGATGGTTGCCATCAGACACAAATGTGTGTGTATGTAAAGCCATCCTATACATACTTCTATTTATCAGTTCTTTCTCAGGATGCAGATAGCATCTTTCTTCATATGTCCTTTGTAGTTAATTTGGGTACTTATAATAGTCAAAATGACTTAGTCACTTATAGTCATTCTTAAAACAATATTGCTGTTACTGCATACAACGTTCTGTTGGTTCCACTCATTTCCCGGGCACAGCTGCAATATTCCCACACCCTTTTTTGCAGGGAGGGGTAGGGAGTAGCTTCTTGAGTCTCAACCAAGGAAGCCCAAAGCTTGGCCTTTCAGTCCCATTTCACAACTCAGGAAGAGAGCATTGATTGGCCCTCTGATATGGACCTTCTCTCCCAGAAGGAGAGAATTCTAAGCCAGAAGGCAGGCCCTATTAGGATGGATGGAAGGCTCTCAGATGGCAGGCAAATGAATAGGAAGTATTGAGTCCTATTTAGCTGAAACACAAAGACACTGCCTGAACTCTAAAAAGACAAAGTGTGGCCACTAAAGAGTAGCCAGCCCCCTGGGAGCATTCCTTCAACTGAAAAAGCCTTTTATGATAGTGTGTGGAGAGGTAGGGTTGAGAAAACAGTTTAAAGACCAGAGTAAGAGGGCATGACTGTTTTCTAAGTCAGGCTGTTTTTTATTTTTATTTGTTTGTATAAAGCCAAATATTTCAGTGTAAATACACCCAATCCTCATTGCATTAGGAGAGAACTTTAAAAAGGGATAGTTGTGCACGTGTATGTGTGCGTGTATGTATGTGTGTGTGTGTGTGTGTGTGTGTGTATATGTGTGTGTATGTGAGAGAGAGAAAGAGACAGAGAGACAGACAGAGTCAGAGAGATAGTTGCTGCTCTCTTTTAAAAATATTTGCTTTTCCTAGAGAAAGATCTTTCGGGTATAGCATATTTGAGATGGCAGCAATCATGAGGACTGCTTTATTGCCAGGCTAGGGATTTGTAGAGTGATTTTATATTTCACAGCTGTTCCACAACTAGACAGGCTGTGAGATGGGCATAGAAAGTCATCATTTTTCCCTTCCCTTCCCAGAGGAGGAAACAGACCAACCCTTCAAACTAAGCATCATTGGCAGGAGCCCAGGGATGGTTTCAATCCTTAGTGGATCATCCCAGTTCAGCAGAGCCCCCTCTAGGGTACAGAGGGTCCCAAGGGCAGAGACAGAAAACTGCACACCAAAAATACCCCCATGGGAGGGGAAAAAAACCCAAACAGCCAAAAAATTGAGAGATGGTGGTTCATGTGGAAGTGAAAATGTTTCCATAGGCATAATAAAAATAAAGTTAAAAGAACATTTTCTTTTTAAGATTTAATTTTTCAATCAATAAGCATTTATTTTATCTCCCTCCTGAACCCCACAATTAAAAAGGAAAAAAAAGCAACAAATATACATGTTCCAGAAAAAAAAAATACCACATAGGCCATGTTAAAAAATACTATGTCTCATTTACCTCATTATGTCTCATTCTTCATCTTGAGTCCATAATCTGTCAGGAAGTAGGCAACATGCTTCATCACAGGTCCTCTGAAATCATGATTGATCATTGATTAGAGTTCTTAATGCTTTCAAAGTTGTTTGTCTACAATATTTTTGTTATTGTTCAAATCATCTTGCAGGTTTTACTCACTTCACTCTGAATTAGTTCATACAAGTCTTTCCAGGTTTCTCTGAAAGTCCATTTCATGATTTTTAAGGGGCAATAATATTCCATTGTATTCCTACTCCATACTTCATTCTCCTATTCCCCAATTCCCCAATTGATGGGCACCCCTTTAGTTGCTAGCTCTCAGCCACTACAAAAAAAGAGCTGCTAGCTCTTTCTGTGGTGGCAAAAAATTGGAAATTGCAGGGATGCCCATCAATTGGGGAACAGCTGAATAAGTTGTGGTATGTGAATGTAATAGAATACTATTGTACTGTAAGAAATGATGAGCAAGCAGACTTCAGAAAAACCTGGAAAGATGTATATGAACTGATGCTGAATGAAATGAGCAGAACCAGGAGAACATTGTACACAGTAACAGCCGCACTGAGTGATGAATAACTTTGATAGACTTAGCCCTTCTCAGCAATGCAAGGATCTAAGAGAACTCCAAAAGACTCATGGTGGAAAATGCTATCCACATCCAGAGAGAGAACTATGGAGTCTGAATGCAGATGGAAGCATACTATTTTCTTTTTTTTTTTTCTTTTTCTTTCTCTTGGCTTTTCCCTTTTGTTCTGATTCTTCTTTCACAATATCACTAATGTGGAAATATGTTTAATATGATTGTATATGTATAGCCTATATCAGATTGCATGCTGTCTTGGGGAGGGGAGGAGAAAATGGAACTCAAAATCTTATAAAAGTGAATGTTGAAAACTATCTTTACATGTAAGTGGAAAAATTAAAATACTATTAAATTGGAGGAGGGGGGTTGAGAAATCTCTTCCACCCTTAGGACAATTGATTCCAGAAAGGTATTATTTCCACTGAATCATGGCTTTCCATATTTCTTAGTCAAGGCTGATTTTCTGTGACAATAGTAATTATGATAATGATGATGATAATAATAGTAATAAAAATCTAACTTCTTTTTTTAAAAAAAAGAGCTGCTACCGAGATTTTTGTATATATGGGTCCTTTTTTTCTTTCTTTGATCCTGTGGACTATTGGTCTAGTAGAGGTATGTCAGGGTTAGAAGGTATGCAGCTTAGTGACTTCAGCTCTTTCCATGAGTTGCCAACTCCAGCCTGGGAGGAGATCTGATCAGCCTTCTAGGCAGTTTTGTTTCCTTTCTTAGTTGGTCTTTCCAGATGAGTTTGAATCCTTGTCACAAATTTCTTTTACTGAGCCAGAGTCAGAATATGATTTGGTAGCTTCCCTATTTCTGGTATTTATATCCACCATCCTTGGGAAATGATTTTCCCATGCTGGGAGCTGTCTGGCTTTAAAGTATTTTCCAAATGCACAGTCCAAAGAGTATTTTAAGTGCTTTGGTGTGAGTACAGAAAAAACCCTATACAAACCTGGAGTTTTCCCTCTGGGAGTTGATCTACATGTATAGGGCCTATGGCTGTCTTGAAGCATTAATCATGGATTGAGGGAGCTTTGCCACTCAAGATATAAGAAAAGTTGTGCCTATATGCAGAAATTAAATGGGGCTTAAAACTAAATTAAATTCAATAAAGGAAAAAGATGGAGATGTTACTTTTGGAAATAGATAATTTTTTACTCTATAAAATAGTACCTTGGTAATATGTTCAGTGATTCCCTCCCCACTCTGATTCCTCATCTTACAGAATAGGAAGCTAAGTTTTTTTTTTCTGCTGAAAATGAAAGATTCAGTTCAGTTCATGAAATTCCTATATGCTACATGCACTAAGTGATAAAGGATCCCTCAAAGACATATGTAATAGAGAATGTGCTCTCAGGGAGTTTACAGTCTAGTAGTCCAGGGCTGGGAGAGGGGGAGAAACACATACAAAAATAACTGTGATTCTAGGTAGCATTTTTAAAAGTGCAAAGATAAAGTCTGAGCTACATGCTGCGAGAGACTGGAGGAGGGAGAGATCACTTATGGCTTGGGGAAAGGACAGTGCCTTGGTACATGGAAGGCTGCCAAGATGTCGCCCCTGAGTTGGGCCTTGAAGGCAGGGAGGGCCTTCAACAGGTGGAGATTGAGGTGGAAGTCTGTTCCTGGAATGGGGGATGGCATGAACAAAGGCACAGGCATGGGAGAGATAGAGTGGATTTCAAGAATGCTTATGCTTTAAGAAAACTTTAAGAAAAACTTTTGAAATAATATATTTATATATTATGTTTATAAATAGATAATAAAAAATTTTAAAAATTTAAACCTTTTGTAATAAGACATTACAGTAATATTTCTACATTCCCCCTTCCCCTTAAGAATCCTTAGGGATTGAGAAAATCTATTTTTACAACATATTGGGGGTGATAGAGAATAAAATCAATTACAAAATGGAATCAGAATCAATTTGATTTTGGGGGGATATATTTTTCCTCCTCCAATAAAAAGCAGTACTAATAAATGGGTTAATAATAGCTAGCATTGAACACTTTAAGGTTTGCAAAGCACTTCACGTAGTAACTCATTTGATCCTCTGAGCAACCCCAAGACGTATTATTTTCTCCATTTGCTGTTATTATCTCCATTTTACAGATGAGGAATCTGAGGCACAGAAAGGTTGAGTAACTTGCCCAGAGTCATACAGCTAGTAAGTGTCTGAGACAGGATTCAAACTGGGGTCTTCCTGACTCCAAGTCCGGCTTTGCATCCACCAAGCCATCTTAGGTCTTTGTCTCTATGGGTTCTGACAAAAGTGGAGGTTTTATTTTCCTAGTTATGGACTAGTCCCTTGGGATAAAAATTGCAGCAAACATTCAGTGTCTACTTTTAAGTGCCAGGGTGAAGGTTTTTTGTTTGTTTGTTTTTTTATGATATAGTACCTGCACTCAAGGACCTTACATGGTAGGGAGTGGGGGGGAGTATTTGATTATGACACATTTATACTTCATTTGTTGTTCAGTCATTTCAGTCACATCTGACTCTGTGACCCCAGTTGGGGTTTTCTTGGCAGAGATACTAGCGTGGTTTGCCATTTCCTTCAACAGCTTATTTTACAGATGAGGAAACTGAGGCAAATAGGGTTAAGTGACTTTCCCAGAGTCACACAGCTAGTAAGTGTCTGAGATTGCATTTGAACTCGGGTCTTCCTGACTCCAGGCTCTGCACTCTATCCATTGCCACCTAGCTACCCCACTTCATTATATGTGTTACTATAATTTGGAGATCTTGTAATTTGGTTTTGTTCTACCAATTCTTTATTAACTAGATCTGGGAAGTGGGGTGGAGGGAGAGCAGAAAAGAGCCTATATTACTGAAATATGTGAGGCAACACTGGGCACGTGGGGCAGTGGAGAGAGTGCTCGGAGTTCGAGGTCCTGGGTGCTGTGTAACCTTGGATAATTCACTTCTCCCTAGGCCTCACTTTTCTCATCTGCAAAATGAGGGTGTTAGGCTAGGTGGACACTGAAACTTCTTTCAGCTCCAGAGCCGTGATCCTACTCTAGGATGGACCGTTCAGGCTCCTTCCAATTCTAGACCTATGATGCTAATTGTATAGAAGCAGAAGTGTGCTGGTAAATGGGTAGCATGCTTCATTATGGAGCTTTTGGAATCATAATTGATCATATCGGCAATCAGAATTCTCAAGTCTTCCAAAATTGTTTGTTTTTTATGATGTTATTATGATACCACTTGTTTTCCTGGTTCTGCTCACTTCATTCTGAATCAGTTCATATGAGTTTTCCTAAGTTTCTCTGAAATAATCCCCTTTGTCATTTCTTACAGTATTCCATTACATTTGCATACATTTGTTTTATACGTTATATATATATGTATATATATGTATATATATGTATATATATATGTACACACATATACATATATACACATATATTTATTATATACATTTTTGGTTCTATACATTATTTGTCATCTATATTTGTTTAGCCATTTCCTAATTGATGGGTACCCCCTTAGTTTCCTGTTCTTTGCCACCACAAAAAGAGCTGATATGATTTTTTTTGTATAGATGGATTCTTTTCCTCTTTCTTTGATCTGAGACAGGATTCAAACTCTGGTCTTCCTGACTCCAAATCCACCCCTTTCTCTGCTACACCAACCAGCAGCTTTCTTGAGAACAGAAATTCCCTTTTCTGAACTTTGTACCCTTCCTCCTCCCCAAAGCAATCAGTACCTCACCGCACACAGAAGGTCCACAATAAATGTTTGTTGAGTTGGATATGGCCTTCTCTTCTCTCCCTGCCACTAACCTCACCTTGCTTTTCAGTGTGTTGCAGGGGCCATGTACGTTACCGGCTTTGCAGAATCAATCTCTGATTTGCTGGGCCTCCGAAACATCTGGGCGGTGAGGAGCATCTCGCTTGCGGTCCTTCTGGGTTTGCTGGGCATTAACCTGGCCGGAGTGAAGTGGATAGTCCGCCTGCAGCTACTGCTGCTTTTCTTGCTGGCCGTCTCCACGCTGGACTTTGTAGGCGGATCTTTCACACACCTGGACCAAGGTAAGCTCCTCCCAGTGTCTGCTGAGACCCGCTGTGCAGGTGCCCTAAACATCACCTGCACCTTTTTGGAGGCAGGTGAAGCCAGCTGGAGTTAATGAGGCCGAGTGGTCTCTGATGCTTACTTTCACTTCATGGATGCAGGTGAGTAAGGAAGGGCACTCAGGAGGCTCCTGCGTACTTGGCCTGTAAAGATTTAGCCTCTACAAGGTGAGCAGTGGTATTTTGGATATGATGTCATGGTCTGAACATCCAGACTTTGCATAGGCATAATTACTTGAGACTGGTATTAGCACACTTTTCTACTCAATTACTTTGTTTTAAACAAAATGAAACACAAAACCTCTTTATTAAAATAGCTAAATTTCAATCTTAAAAAAAATAAATTAGGTAGTTCTTCAAAGCAATATCTTAAAGAAAACAGACACCTAAGCACAATTTGGTAACCTCACTATGCCCTGGCTAGGATTGATCACTTCTTAATTTAGCGTTGGTTTTCTTTCTTGATCAGAGTAGAATATTTCTCTCTTTTCACCTTGAATCTTTATTTGTTGTTGTCTAGTTCTTTTTCAGTCAAACCCAACTCTTCGTGATCCCTTTTGGGGTTTTGTTGGCAAAGATATTGGGGTGAATTTGCCATTTTCTTCTCCAGCCCCTTTTACAGATGAGAAAACTGAGGCAGACAGGGTTAAGTGACTTGCCCAAGGTCACATAGCTAGTAAGTGACTGAATCTAGATTTGAATTCAGGTCTTCTTGACTCTAAGCCTGGCATTCTATTCACTGCGCCACCTTTGAATATACTTCAAGTCATAAATAGTTTTTTGTGGGAGCACGGTGGGGAGGGACTATTTTTAGCTCCAGGGCCTCAGACTAGTCAAAAAGACTTGCTTTCCTTCTTTTCTGATGGGCAGAGTAGCCCTTAGGGTAGTAGCCTCTAAGTTGGTGATGGATGTCTTTCCCCTCACCCAACCCCTAGCAGAATATTTCTAGGTTGCATTATTAGTGCTCCAAGTTGCCAAAATAATCTTTCTAAGATCTGACCTTGTCACTGCTCAGACACCTTCAATGGGTCCCTATTCTATCAGGATAAAATGCAGACTCCTTAGTCTAGCATTTAAAGCCATTTACTGTCTGCTCCTACCTAATTTTTAAATTTCATTTCTTTTTTTAAAATAATATTTTTCCATATATATGTATATGTATATGTATATATGTATGTGTGCATATATGTATATACATGTATATGTATGTGTGTGTGTGTAGTCGTGCTTAATTGTAGCTTCTTTGGGGAAGGGGAGAAGAAAGGGGGCAAAAAGAACAAAGTAAAAAGTGCATAGCAGAGAACAAAAGAAAACTTACAAGGAAGCAAAGAAAAGATGGACAGCTCTCAACACAATGGGTGGTATTTTCACATAGGCCTTCTTGAGATGGAAATCTGTTTTGAGTCTTCTCTTACATTTTGTGTGTACATGGCAATTTTTTTTCTTTTCCTATTTTGTATTTAAGTTTTAGTATTTAAGTTTATAATATATTTCTTTTTCTCTTCTTGTGTATTTAAGTTTAAAATAAATTAAAAAGAAATATCTTTCCCAATTTCATGTAAAGACAATTTTTAACATTCATTTAAAAAAATTTGAATTCTGAATTTTCTCCCTCCCTTCCTCACCTCCCCAGTCTCATTTTACATTGTTCCCCTTCTCAACTGCAGGGCTCCAGTGAAATGGAGCTACTACCAATTTCTTGAACTGAATATACTATTTGCCACGTCCATGTATTTGCATAAGCCACTTCCCTATACTTGTGTGTCCGGAATATATTCCTTCATCCTGCTCCCCTTTCAGAATCCTTATCTTTCTTCAAGGCTCAGCTCAGACATTATCTTTTCTCTTCTGAATAGCCTTCCTTCATTCCCTTAACTGAAAGTGTTCTTTTTCAATTTTCCGAAGTTAATTTGATAGATCTTTCCTTTGTCCCTATCACTCTCCAGTCTGTATTATACTTAACTCTGTATAGGTAAGTCTCTGTCCCCCCCCCCCAATAGAATGTAAGCTCCCAGAGCCTAGCGCAGTGATTTTCACATAGTAAATGTTTAGTAAATATTTATTGAATTGTCAAATTGTTGAAGTTAAAAGAAAGTGAATTTGAACTCAATATATTATTTAAGCTCTCACAACTGACCGGCGATGGAATTAACAGCTAAATGAGTTAATAATTGTAAAATGCTTAGCCTTGTGCCAGGCACATAATAAGCACTCTATAAATGTTAGCTATCTGGCAAAGACTTGGAAATTGAGAGGATGCCCATCAATTGGGGAATGGCTGAGCAAGTTGTGGTATATGAATGTAATGGAATACTATTGTGCTGTAAGAAATGATGAACAGGCTGACTTCAGAAAAACCTGGAAAGACTTATATGGTCTGATGGTGAGTGAAGTGAGCAGAACCAAGAGGACTTTGTACACAATAACAGCCACGTTATGCAATGACTAAGATTGTTAAACTGAACCTTTCTCAGCATTATGAGGATCTAAGACATTTCCAGAGGCCTCGGGATGGATAATGCTGTTCACATTCAAAGAAAGAACTATGGAAGTTGAATCACTATTACTTATTTTTACCTTCTGTTGAGTTTTGTTTCCTCTTTCTGATGGTTCCTCGTATTGGTTTTAATTTTCACTTACAACTTCACTAATGTGAAAATATGTTTAATGGGTATGTAAATGTAAAGCCTATATCAGATTGTACGCCGTCTTGGGGAGGGTGGGGGGGAGAAAAAGGGAGAAAAATTTTCAACTCAAAAGCATATGGAAAAAATAAAAAAAAATTAAATACAAAAAAAAGAAAAAAAATAAATGTTAGCTATCATCACCATCATCATCATCACCATCATCATCATCCTCATCATTGTAAGTTCCTCATCCCTGGAAGTGTTCAAGCAAAGAATCACAGTCAAAGCTGGGCTACAAACCCTGCGTTCTCTAGAGGAACACTTGTCAGATGTTCCTAGATCTATTTTCCTGGATTATTTGAAGTAAACTCCCTTTTCTCCATGTTTTATTTCTATCTTCTGTCTTCCCAATAATCATGTATCCAGTTCTGCAGCATTTGAATCATTCTATCTTGGAGCATGGAGGCATCTCTATCCACCAGAGTCTGAGGACCTAAGTTCACATCCCAGCCTTGAAGCTTACTACTTACATAAGATTGGACAAGTCTCTTCATCTCTCTGGGTCTCAGTTTTCCTATCTGTGAAATGAGAGAGTTGTAGCAGGTGATCTCCAAGGTTCTTTTTAGCTCTAGATTAGAGGTTCCCAAACTTATTTGGCCTACCATCCCCTTTTAAAAAAAATTACTCAGTACGCCCCTGGAAACCTACTTTCTTTAACCCTCTAACAGTTTTTTTTGAAATTTGTGTCATTTCAAAAAAATATAAACTTTTTTTTAAAGTGATGCATCTTAAATTAAATAATTTATTATAAATTTGTGGGATTTTTTCTATATTGAAATTTTGATGACAGAATATTGTATCATGTAACCATATAGTATCATATTGTAAACAAGTCATTACCCGAATATATTCCTGCCCATGCATGCTAGACTTTCTGACAATGTTCATCTCGCTTGCCTGACAACACTTGCTTGTTAAGACCTGTGGGCAGACTTGACCACTGATGGGTTTTGCATATATATATAAATGCATTTTGTGTGTTTGTTTGGAAAATAATGTAATCACTATGACTTTAACTATGTTGCACAACAGATGAAACATGAACGAACAGTTTTCAAAATTTTCTTCTCTTCTCTCTTTCCTTATGCTTCTACCTCCCCTTTATTTTCATTCAATGCCCCCCACTTGCATCCAACGCTACTACTTGCCCCACCTGGATCGTTCCAGCTCCCTCCCAGGGGTGGTATTGCCCAGTTTGGGAAACTTTACATCATATAATGAATGCCACAGCTGTCTTTGCTGGCTCTAGGCCAGCAAAGTGTTGTCTGGAAAGTGGAAGCTTCCAGAGTCTCATCTTTCTACATGGAAAGAGAGACAGCCTGTTTACAATTACGAATATTAATTTTAGAAGAGACCTTAGCCATCATGAAATTCAACCTCCTACCTAGGACAATATGGGAAAAATAGAACAAGTTCAATTCTCAATTTAATTCAATCCAAGGAACATTTATTAAGTGACTTCTGTGTGCCTGGCCCTGGGCCAGGTACTGAAATGGATATGGTTTTTAACACCTTATATACCCATTATCACCTTTGAGCTATAACATAACACTTTGAAGTAGTTAGGTACTCTAGCTATCTTTGCTCCCATTTTACAGAAAGGAAGCTGGGGCTGTGGGAGTTTAGTCACTTGCCCATGGTCATACAATAGAAGTGGTAAATACACACCTTGACTTCCTGGCTCCAGTGATGCTTGGGATGAGGCATTTGGAAAGCTGCTAGAGGAGCCTCGGACATTCTAACTATCATTTTTTGACACTGAGCTCCCCACCCAAGGTGTTGGCCCCTTCACCTGTGCTTCATTCAAAAGATTTCTTAATCAGAAGGAAAGTATACACTAACTAAAATGTGCACAGACATCCTGTAGACCAGAATTTGACCAACATATGGATATCTGGGATGGAGGACCAATGGACAGTGAGCAAGACTCTGAGCTAATCATGGGCTGGGAGGCTTGTGACAAATCACAAAGGTCAAGCCAATAAGCTTTTATTAACCTCCTACTACATGCCAGGCACTGTGCTAAGCACTGGGAATACAAAGAAAGGCAAGACATGGAATATCACTGCCTCTGAAGAACTAAGGATGAGTATCACACAGAAGGCAGTGGAGAGGCATATGGTGGGTGGGTGTTGGTCACAACATGTAACCAAGGAGGAACTCCAAAGAAGAATGGGAAGTAAAGGTTGTCATTGAGGAACTGTAGAATAAGAAGAAAATATGAGCAAATTACCTGGCAAGAAATTGAATAAAGCTTTCAGCACATTGAATGGA